TGTGTGTGTGTGTGTGTGTGGATATGTATGAATCTTTATCTATAGATATATGTGTATCTATCAAAAGATCATTCAGAGTGCAATCTGTACGATCTGTCTTAGGTTGTTATACTCAATGATGCACGGCTGTATGACGATGAGATGTCTTGAGCTGGGTTATGCAGTGCTTATGGGTACTGTTGGCGTATTGTATCTCGCATTTCATATCGCCATACGCCCGGTCATTCGGACACAAACTATCAGTGCTATATGCATCATCCCCGACATGATCAATCCTCCTGTTTCAGGGTCTAGGGTTTAAGGTTTGTTGGGGTACGAGTTCCTAACACACCTTCGCTATACCGTACCAGTGAGATGACTCAGTCCTACAGCGGTAGCACGATCAGTGAACTGTGCAGGCTGGCAGCTATGCGACCTCTGAGAGACCTTCTGCTTGCCGGAGATTTGGACAGGTATAGTGTGTGTGTGCTACATAACGTCACTACAAGTTAAGGGTCTTATAAATAAACGTTGAACGCCTGGATGTGTAGGGGGAGAGAGAGGGGGGGGTGTATGTCTGGGTATAGATTCGCGTTCACTTAACGTTCAGCCTGGTTCCCCATAGGCTAGCGTTTGTATTGTTTTAGTCATCTCTTGGTGGCCGTTAGTGCGAGTCTATGCTGTTGTTGTTGATGAAATTAAAGTTCGGTCGTCTCGAGCAATGTATACGTGCAGACACGTCTATGTTCAAATACATACATGTGTGCGTACATACATGTGTTACATACATGTGTAACATACATGTGTTACTTACATGTGTAAGTACATACATGTGTTACATACATGTGTGCGTACATACATGTATCGTATGGAAGTTTCGTAGCATACATGTGTGCGTACATACATGTATCGTATGGAAGTTTCGTAGCTGTGTTCAGTTCAACTGTGCTTTTATTCGTATCGGTTATGTGTAGACGTGCTTTATCCCATCGTCTACCGTTCGACATCTCTGTTAATCATAGGAGTTTTAGTTTAGGGTTTAGGGTTGTTAGGGGTTTGGCGCACCTTGCAATGATATCTTAATCCGGTATAAACGAAAAGGCATCGCGTTTCTCCAATACTGTTTTTAGTACCGCCATGATAGTGACGCGTGCGGCTGCTATGCTGTGATGTTATAACGTTAACGTTTAATCACTGCAATACCCTAAACCCTATTACTTTAAACCCCTAAACTCTATTACTCTAAACCTCTAAGCCCTATAACTGTAAACCCCTAAACCTCAAACACCAATTCCTATGTGCATGCAGAGTCGACGGAGCAGTCCCGCGGCCCATTACCATGCACGACTTCAATGAAGCTAGACAACACATGACAACGCTCAACTTCTGAGGGTAGTTGCCATGGTAACGCGCCATGCATGGTGACGGAATACGCTCCGCGGTGACGCCATACTCCACAGAAGCGGAGAAAGCGCGACACATTGAGTGTATCATCATGTCCTGAATTTAACTTAAATCAACGCGAATAGAAACCATCAAGCGGCCTCGAGAAAGATATGAAATCTGAGTGACACACCTGTGTGATACGCCTTGAGACGCCCATAAGTCTACTATTCCTACGCCTTGTGCATGATATATATATATATATATATATATCTATATATATATATATTACACCGCTAAGAAACTATTAATAGGCCATGTAGGTTAA